CACTTACTGCAAATTCCAACCAATTATTATTAAAAAATCTAAAAAAAAATTTAAATTAAAAAAAAATTAAAAAAAATTAAATTAAATTAAATTCACTTACAGCAGCTGCCAATATTTGCTATATATAATAATTTTAATTTATTCAAAAAAAAACTAAAAAAAAATTAAAAAATAAATAAATAATTAAATATTAATTTAAATTAATTAAATTAAATTCATTTACCACCACAAATGCCAACCAACTATTAATAAAGAAATCTAAAAAAAAAAATTTAAAAAAAAATAAAAAAAAAAATAATTAATTAATTAAAATATTAGTTTAAATTAATTAGAGTTCAGCTACAATCATATTTAATTTTGTATTATTAGGATTTTTTGGGTAAATCTATCTGATAAATGCTACAAGTTTTCCATTCTGTGAAAATAAACAAAATTCCACGTTAAAGCATATTAACATTAATATCAAATTCAATTTTAATTAATAATTAATTAAAAAATAGTTACCATGATATTAAAATTGCATATATAATTTTTTAACTTATCCTCCACCTTCAATATACTTTAAGAATATTAATTAATTTCCTTGTAAAAAGATTGATGTCTTTAAATATTATTATCTGATATGCCTAATAATATATTGAATCAGGATTATTTATTTCTTTGCCTAATCATTAATAAATTTTTGATCATGAGTTCATTTTATCAAGTTCCGATTATATTGTTAATGAAACAATTTTTTTTTTTTTAATATATGCTTTAAAATTAATGAAATTTTTGTTATTTTTAAGGATGATTTTTGTTTTGGTTTTTTTTTTTTTAAAAAAAAAAAAAAAAAAAAAAAAAAAATGGAGATTTCTATTAGCTAATAAGTTAAAAAGGTATTTATTTAAATTCATATATAGAAGGTTTTAATAATTTACATCAAATCAAAATTAGATATTAAAACTTTAATATAAAAAAGTTGACAATAGTACATCATTTGTTTAGATTACAAAATGACCTTGGAATTAAGGCTTTTTGAAATATTAGCTAATTATATAATTTACCTAATTGTAATCATGAATAAGTAAATAATATAACGAAAAATGTGAAAAATAGTGCTCGTTCAAAACTACATTCTGGTAAGTAATCTAGAATATGTAATACGAATCTTAAAAAAAGAAAATTTCCATTAAAAATTTTTTCATTCATTGGCAAAAATAAAGTTTCACCGACATACCTCATGTTATAATTCAGGTTTGTAATAATTATGTCTTTTTGTGCTGAAAATTTGGCCGTAAGAAATAACACGTCTCTAAAATTTTACTTATAGTGGGACATTTAATAATCTTCGTATATAAAGGATATAAAAATAAATAAAAATTTGCCAATAAAAAAATTATTTATCATAAATTTTACATTTTGACATTTTAATGATAATTAGATATCTAATTCTGATTCATATTCTTCGTGCAGGTTATTATAATTTATTAAGAGAAAAGTGTTAGTTTTTTTTTTGATTATTTTTTGGAAGGTGAAAGTGTTCCAAAAGTGTGTAACATTGTCGCAGCAAGATCTTCGTTGTATTCTATTTTTGAAATGAAAAATATAAGAGTAAGAAATATGTTTGAATAGGTAGGTAACGGAGATGCAAAAAGTAGTAAAATATATGTGCATAAAAATACATAGAAATGCATAGAGGTAAAGATAAAAAAATATGTGTGAAATGAGACGCATTAGTGTAGAAACTCAAGATCCACTTCAGTTACAAAGGTGATAACTAAAAGTGAAACCTCGTTTTCAAGAGGCTCGCAGATCATCATTTAGGTTTGCAATAAAGCAATGTCATAACCGAATCCTCGTAAAGAAACAGTAGACCTTTGTGGTCGAAATGTACTTAAGCTACTACACTACACCACGAAACACTTCCACGAAAATAAAATAAAACACATTATTTCTTCACTTACTTTCTTTGGTTATCATCGTCGTCGTTAAAGCTTTGTAAGGTCGATGAAACATGTACAAAGTGTAAACAAGTTATGAATCTTAATAAAGTTCGTTTCACTTTTTTTGTTGTTTTTACTAAAATATACAAAGTGTTGGAAGAGAGGATATAATTGTTTTAAAAAAGTATATTTATTTAATCGTGCGAATATTTATTTTTATTGGTCATGAAGATCATACTGTTTTTAGAAATATTACTAATATGAAATTATCAATAAAGTTCTTGTTTGAATATAGAAGAAAATATATACAAACTTTAATATTATATTCTTTGTCATTTTTTTTTAAAAAAATATCTTCAAATTGTGCTTAGAAATTTCTTTTTTTTTGAAAAACTTGGAGCAGGACCAGGAGGACTTTGTTCTTTATCATTCTTTAATAAAGAATTTAATGTAAAAATCTTTGAACGTGAAACTATCCCTAAAAGGTAAAATATATAAAGTTCGACCGATCATCTGGAAAATTTTTTTGGTCACCCGCATTGGTCACAAATTATCCGGTATCACATAAATCTTTAATTAACGACTTCTCTCCTTTTTTTTTTTTTACAAAAAATAATATTATAGTCGGTTGGTCCCGGTCAAAAATGCTTAAAATACAAAAAAAAGACTAAGCTTTATTGAATATTGTACTATCTATTGGATATCAAACCATGTTATAAGAGAACTTCCGCAAGTGGCTTTGGCGAAGTTTCGGCGTAAAAAGGTTAATCCCGCGTTCTTACGAGGTTATGTTTACATTCCAAAAACTCCCAGATTCCAACATGTCCTATAGATTTTTGCAAATTAACCGTGGCGGTTGTTAGACATGACACTGGAGAAATCCAAGGAAAACATACCGGTATTGTCATGTAAGCATACTTACTTAGTTATCGTCGTCTTGTCATTTTAGCAGCAGGGTAGTCCGAATATTGTTAAGAGAAAGGATATCATCCAGGCCGTCAAAGCACGTATGGACTACGTCGTGTCCCGCAAATGAAATTATTTTCATTTAAAATCACATGGAGGGTCTCGTTGGTGATGTGGTGGCATAGCTGTGTTTGAAGGGTGACCCTCCTATTCCCAGTTTCTTTTTATATAAGACGTTCAAATCGTGTTCGTCCCATTTCCCAGATATGTAGGTGATGATGAAATTAATGAGGCATGTATGATGATTACCGGACTTATCACAACGGGTCTCAGGTCAATTTATTTTATTGTTAATTAATTTCTCTCTTTTCGATACTTCTCCCAACACCTCACCTCTAACAACTTCTTTTCTTATTCTACAGATCCGAAAATTCTGACGAAAAAGAAAGAAGTTACTATATGTTATGTTCAGAATTCCTACTAAATAAGTTAAAGAAGTTTATGAACGGAAATCTCTAACGAATATTGTAAAAAATGCATTGGATTTGAAGAAACCGAAAATGAAGTTTGGGCGATTTTGAAAATGGTTCACGAGAGTCAAGCGATATCAAAAAGAATTAATTCTCTGGGTATTTAAATTTTTAACCTGACAATAAATTTTGAAAATATTTTAATTTTACGTCTTTTCTTTTTATATATTTTTGTTGTAATTCAAAAGTAAACGGTACCGGAATTACAAATATTCGATTAATTACCTCGGAAATTTCATGAAAAAAATTTTGTTGACAGGTTAATGAAAATTCATGGAGTCGGTCTATTTCAAAAATCCCTTGGAATGCACGGTGATTGGTCTTTTAATGATTCCAATTGAACAAGATCTAAATTACAAGAACGAGTATGATTTAAATGAGCCTCATTACAGAGTAAATTTTTCTTACGCATATCCCTCCGAAATTGATATCAAAGAATCAGACGGAAATAAGGTAATCCTACATAGTAATAAAACATGTAATTCAAAAATTTAGGCCAGATTGCGAAAGGAATAATGTTTTATTAGAATTATGGGAATTAGTTCCTCTGACTGATCCAAATGTTCAAGCAAAATATCCGTTTATAACCTATAATCCAGTTAAACGAAGAATTGCGAGATATTGACCCATCGTCTGTTAATACTTGGAAAAGTAGCTGAGTAAAATTATTGGGAGATGCTCACCCTGTACTTGGATTAGGAACAATAATGCAATTGAAGATGCTTATGTTGTTTCTCAGGCGTTACTTAATAATTCTTCGGGAAATAATATTTCTTGTATCTAAGCATATGAAAAGGAAATGTTAAAACGCACATCCGCTTATGTTAAAATCTAGGTCCAATGCACTAAGAATAAAATATTAATAAGTCCAAAATATCCAACAGAAGGTAACTAAAATATCATATATCTATTTTTTATAGATACCATCTTGATTAGTTAATTTCTTTATATGAAACAAATTTGAACCAATATAAGCATTTTTAATTGGGTTGTGAGTTTATTTTTACTTGCATATCTAAACAATAATCAAAACTCAACTTAAGGGATAATAAAAAAAATATTTAATGGGGAAGCAATTAATTACATTGCTAAATTGTTAACCTGTTAAAGAATTTCTTTAATTTTAACTTTGGCCGAATTTTAACTTTCGGGCAGAAATTTTATTTTTGTGATTACAAAAAATTTCGCCAGTTCTGCTTGCCTGATATTAACCGGATAAGATTCTTTAGGTTGGTTCCAAACTCTAGTTAGAAGAAATATTCCGTTACACAATTCTTTAGCGCGATCGATCCCGGCAAGAATTTTTCATAGAAGCAGTAATGGGTATTTGATAATCGCGGTCTTAAAATCGAACGAAAAAATATTGGATCAACAGATACTTCTGAGAGCTTACTTACAATAACATATGAGCTGGCAGATATATTCGAAGACATGAGGCTAGACACTTAAACATTATTATCGTATCTGCCTCATATTCCAAATAAATTCCGGTGATGTCGAATTTGAATCCAGTTGACTCAACCGTCTAGACTAATAAAAGTCCTTGAAGTGTATCCATGAGTACAACATTAAAAGTAAGTATGATTAGTACTTAAGTGTGAAATTGAATCAAATATTAATACCTCTACCAATCCAAGAATTGAATTCATAATCCATTGGAACCACTTATTATGACTCACCACGGAAATCTGGTCAATTGATATTCCTGCTTTGCATGGAAATTAGTTTGAGTTGCAAATTATTATTCCCTCATAATCAACTGTCTTTTTTTATTAGAATATTTCCTCATGAATCATTATCCCTGAAATTCAATCGGAAGGCACATTCGACCATTAGATTAACGAAGCGTTATATAAATTAATCCTTTCCCAATAATATTAGTAACTTTTTTACGTCTCCAGACAATGGAAAGTTTTCAAAGATATTGGTAACACAAAATATTCAGATAAATAGTAAGTATTTAGAATAAATATATATACACGTATCATCTACACATATATTAACGATATCCATTTAATATGATGTAAGAAATGTATAAATGATATCAATATCAAGTTGTATTAATCCATGCAAACATCATAACGGTATTGGCATGGGTGTTGTACAATATAATATAACCTGAAAAAGTCATTAAAAATATCTAATAATCAAGGGAGGACAATAACCAAATGGAAAGATATAAAAAAAAATAACAAAATAAAGTGACTTACCTCTTACTTGTGGAAGCGAATGAGGATTGATCCTAAAGAAAAGAAAGGGCTCAATTTCTGGAAAAAATTAAGAAATCGTTCAATAGCTGGATCGAACCTGTCAAAATAAAAAACCAAAAAAAAATAAAAATCCCCGACGCAGCGACCATGCAAGAATTGCGAAATGCCCATTTGCATATGGAAAATAACCTGATATGTTGATTACCATAACTTATCGGGTTCGTACGGAAATTACTCCATGGCCAATGTATAAATATCATGTGACCGTATAAGTTATTTTGGAACTGCAATATTTTGGTAATCGCGATTATAATATAAAATTTATGTTTAAATATTAATTTGCTAACGGTGTAAATTATTTTATTTTTTGTATGAACCAGTTGCTAACTTTACTTTTACCTTTATTCGAGATGTTGCACGGAAGATAGTATTTTAATACCTTTAAATAAATCAACCTCAAATACTTTTCCTATTCTTTCTTCTCTTGAAATATACCTACATATTTGCACAAATCTACACATTTGCCTACACCTCTTACAAGTGTTGTTCACGGAAATTGTCCATGAATATGCTTGGTGATTTATGCTTGCGAATGAATGCTCAATTTATATATATATCTTTCTTTTTGCTTAAAAAAAAAAATTTTGCACCCTTTTTCCTAAAAGGCCCTCTTCTCGTATCGATTTAGGGGAGTTTCGGGGTCGCTCTTACAATAATATTTATTTGTTGCATAAAATTGTTTTGTTCATCCAAGAAAATGTAAAGTTTAACAACCAGTTGGGACGATTTTAGTAAAAATTTCAAGCTGCAAAACGAACAACTTATAGTATACATATGAATTAATTACGAAATTTAATATTCAAATAAAAATAGTAATCCATAAACGTAAATTAATAAAGGTATTTTAAAAATATAGTAATGAAATAACTAAGAAGCTTCCTAAGCTAATCGTGTGAAACAATTTATTACTTAAATAATAACTTAGCAATTCCATCTGACTAATTGAATGAACTAATAATAACTTTAATGACGCTTTACTTTCATTCAATATTGCTTCTAAAAGTAACTTAACTGATAATCTTTTACGACCAGAATAATTGCACCAGGTTTTCAAACACATAATGGCGCAAATTGTATTAGCTTTAAGTCCACATCTTTTGGATGATATTAGATTGGTTCCGCTGTAAATGCTCGTTCTACAGGAACATTTGTGGCTTTATTAAAAAATTGTATTAAATTAATAAAAGTTTAATATCGATTTTTTTTTTTACCAGTAATTGCAATATGAACTCTAGCCATTATGTGAATATTGGTTTCATGTAACTATATAATATAATTGAATTAATAAATTAGATAAATACATAACTTACACCAAAGAAGGATATCTTAATTTTTATGCAGCTCGAGGAGCATTAAATAAATTTTATCTCATTTAATATTATTTATTACAAAAAATATGATTTAAAATTACATCGTATACATCATTAATATCGACTACTCTATTTAAGTAATAGCTGGTGTATATCTGCATAATAACAAAGCTTAATTTCATTCTATTTTTAATATTACTTAAAAACAAGTTTAATATATCGGACGTAAAACGAAAAAAAAAGATCACCAGATCATCCGGGTCAAGGAAAACCATGACCTTGATCGACAGGTTTATTAAGTTAGGAATCGTGTAAAAATGATAGAGTCAGGTCGAATGACCTGGGTTCTATCAAATATATGCACAAAAAAGATAAGATGAATTTTAGGAAAATCCTTACCAAGATACGGCTTCCATAAAAGAAAAACATAGGCTGAAGACCGAAAAGATATTGTAAAATTATCCAGAAATGAAGCAAAGTTTGATTAAAATATAAAATTTTATTTTCTAAATTTTTATATTTATTTGAAAAGTAGTCTCCTTGAAAGAGTAGAAATGAACTATATACATGAGTATGACGAAATTGAAGCATCCTACTCTTGACAAGATAAATAAATATCTAAAATTTCATCAATTTCATCAATTTCGGATTTGTCCTCATCAGTTGAGAAAGTTGTATGGTAAATAATTTTAGAAGTCATGATTTCTTTGATCGCGACGGATTCCTTTCCTTTGCGATATTTATGGAATACTTTGTGTTTGAGGGTTTTAAATTTCTTGGAGAAAAATATTTTCAACTTATTGGGCGATTTATTCTGTTTAGGCCAGAATTGATCACCTTTCAATGGTTCCATGATAATTGGGATAGATTCAGGAATGAAACTTTCATAACTTTTATCAAAAATCGAAAAATTAGGACTTTGCATATTTATTGTTATATATTGAGAAAGCTATAGCTTGAAATTGCTACTAGATGATATTTGGCCTGCTTATATATCTTTTTAGCAGCATATTCGTCCTTTATTTACGCTAATGTTGACATATTCCTTTGTGAATTTTGTTTCAGGTTTGTTAAATCACATTATTATTTCGAATAAAAGTAAGTGTCATGATTACAAGTTACAATACTTTTCCTGACACATGACAGATAGTTTAATTGATTCAAATGTTGATGATTTGACACTTAATACATAAACATGCGATAATCGAATTTCTAATATACAGCACTATTATAATTGCATTTCAGAATACTTATATCCTGTATTATTTGAATTTTGCATATGCATGATATCATCAGAAACAAAAAGTCAATTAACAATGCGATGTTTAATTACAATACAATTAAAAGTATGACGTATTTCATGTAATGAATTTTAATCGCACATAATATCATGGCGCAGAATTGCCAACCAATTTATGGTGATTTTAAATCTTGCTAATTATATTGAATGAATGAACATTTTATTTTAATAGTGATATAAGATCAATTTGCCAGAATTAAGAAATTAAAACTATGGTATTATGGTTGATAATGCTTAAATTTTTTAATACAATTTGTATTGTAACTTGTATGTATTACCCTCGGAAACAATTCCGTTGCCGCAGGAAATGACGGCACCTCATGATCATAAACAATTATTTCACGTGATTTGATTAATATGGCGCAGAAGTGAGGTGCTTATTTTTGTTCAACAAAAAAATGTTTCATGTCCTGTTGAAAAATATAACCTTTAATACCGATATAAGTTACAATAAACCGCAACTGCTTCAATCATGGTAGTAATTACTTTAACCACAACGATATCAAGCAATATAAACCACAACCTAAACCAAAGTTCAACTGAATTATACCTAAACCATAACACCATAATCGCAACCACCTTAACTATAGCAATATTAATATAACCGCAACTTATTAAATGAAAAAATAATAAGGTATTGATACATTATTTAATAATATTTAAGTTTTAAAAAAAAATTCTAGAATTCCAAAAATACTTATCACTAATTAGTCTATATTAAATGCTTTTTTTTCTATATTTTCTAAGGCATGGTTAAGTCTTATATTACAAGACACATTTTCGTTTTTTATTAAAATTCAATCATGTGCACTGATCAACTAATGGATCGGTAATCAATATATTTTAACGTGTTTTTTCGCATTCCAATTTCCTTTTGCTTTTTTCCCTTTACCTTTTCCCTCCCTTTTCTTTTTTACTAAAAAATCAAATTATGAAAAAGTTACCTTAACAAATATTCAAAAATATGAGCTTTGTGCTTATGCTAGTAATAATAAAAAAATCTCGAGGTGAATATGTAGATTGGGTTGAGCAAAAATAGGGTGTTAGAATTCATGAGAGTACAGTAACGCGAATTTTACAAGGTCAAAACAAACGACTTACCTCTGAAGTTAACTATCCAGAATAGAGCTCCGAACAAGTCGGTTTGGGTCAGGTCAATCAAGTTACCTGAACTGAGAGGACCAGGTCAGGTCAAACAAAAATCCGAACTGATTTAAATTTTCATTTGACCCGACCTGACCCGACCCGACCTGACCTAATCTAACCTAATTTTGATCAACAATATATTATATTTGATTCAATTTAAAACTCTAATTTATTTTGTTATTCTTCTTTGCTTTTTCTGTAAAAAAAATTGTATGCGAATGATATGGAAATTTTTAATTTGATGATTAATTACAGTTGCACGATTAATTATAATTATACTGAAAATCAATTTTCCAATCTTTGTTTTTTCTTTTTTTAACAAAAAAACACTTATTTTATTTAACATATTCTTTAAAAAAACAACCTTATTTTTTAAATACTTAAACTTATAAGAACTCTATACTAAATGTAACTATATTTATTTTTGTAAATTTTAATTTTTATATATATTTAGTATCTTTTTTTATAAACATTAATACAGAGATTTCATGACGAATTTTAAGCACTTTAGTTGAAGTCAATCACCTTTCATGAAAATCACGTTCATCAATATAACGTTAACGAAATCGATGTTCTTTTAAAGCAAATTCATAAAGTTTTTTTTTAATGCTTTAAATAGTTATAATTAAACACAAAAAAGAAAAAAAAACGAAGCTTATTATACATTATATACCATCTTTTTTTAGAAAACAAATAAAGACGTACTTAACCGGTCCGGTAAATAAATTTGATAAGGATGGCATTATAAATCTATCCAGACCAACGGAATATATTAAACCATCAGAATCTTAATTCTTTCAAATATCTTCATTTTGACCCGAATTAATGACAAACAAAAACAAAACTTTATTAAAAGTCTGAATACTAACAACTTGATGAAACCAATCCAAATCTTTTATTTCATAATGAGTCAAAATCGATATTACTTGATACCTTTATTATAAGATATATTATATCTGCTTGTGATCGCTAAACAATAATATTTTGGATATATTGTATGACTAGAAATGTTTAACAGAATGGGTTATTATTCTGTTTCCGGATTCCCGATATGGAATGCTAGAATAGGAGGAGTATGCTGGTGGAGCATAATTTGGAGGGTCAAGATTTGGAACACTGTGAAGCATATTTCTTCTTTCAGACGGATCATCTTTTGAGCAGCAGCAGCAGCATGGTATTATCAAAAATTGGAGATTCATGGTAAAAAGAGACCAAAATGAGGTAGGTGGTTCATCTTAATAATATTTTCGTTTAACGATAACTCGAAAAACCGTATTTTCAAGGTCACGTTCGAGAACAATGTTATAATACTCTGATAGATCATGACCAAGGATTTCATATTTAGGAGAGCCAATTGTAGGAACCGACCAGGAGATAATGAAATTGCTAAAACTGCCATCATTAATGTAAAAGATTGCAAAACCTTTCACACCACCGAGAAAACTACTTGTAACACTAGAAAATCCTCTGCCTGACCATTTTTAAGAGGTAAATTTGTGGTTCACAGCTAATTCTGTAATTGTCATCATTTGATGTAATCCAACGACCGCTTTCAAGACTAGCAGAGACAAGTTCAATACGATAACCAATATGATTATGAGAATTATTGTAGCGACGCGTGAATGGTGTTCCGAAGCAAATTTCCGAGCTATGAGAGGGCAACATTCTAAAATTGATCCACTTTGACAATAAAAAGTACCAATATCTTGTTCAAATAAAGGAATATCATGCTCTTTGAAAAACCAATTTCTTTCTCAGTTAATAAACTGCCAACAACCTCTTGTTCAGTTTAAGGAAATGAATTAGGACACGTTGATTGAAATATCAGAATAAGAAAAATATGGAATAGGATGACTAGTGATTTAGATGACATCATGAAATAAATTCTCTCGGAATATTGAATATTGAATTAGAAGTTACATATAACGTATGTTTATCCGAAAATATTTTCTGAATAAATCTTTTGAAATAGAAATGAACTTGCAATGGTCGGGTCAAGTCAAAATTAAATTTTTGCACTTTCAAGAAACATTAAAAAAAAAAAATGGCGAAGAAATGGTCCTAACTAAATGTTGCATATTTAAGTGTATACAAAACTACTTTGTGAAACCTAGCATTTGTAATTTGTGAGACTTACACTCCCCGGTCAAAAGTATTGGACCAAAAAAAAAGTTATCGCAACTTTTAAATTTATGACTAATTTTAATTTT